CCCCCCCCCCCCCCCCAATATTAATGGTTTTCTGTATATTCAAGAAAAAGGTACGACTCTGTGCAAAGTGTCGGTAAAAAGGTGAAAGAGTGAAGATAAGGAAGAAACCTTCCATAGACCAATTTAAAGTTGAAAGATGGAACAGCAGAATACAGAGAAAAGGAACGTACTGCGATATAGTTCCTTTCAACTTAAATCTATTGAGATCCCACAATCTTATTGAACCAAAAATGAAAAACATTAATTATTTACTCATCTCCCAATCCCAAATAAGTTTCTAACAGCAATAGATAATAGTTATTAAAGATAATAAGTTGATTCGTAAAGATACAAAAACAGGCCAATAGTAGATTCTAGCCATGCTGCAGGATAACAAAATTTGAATCATGATGTATCAAACATGCAAATCACAGAACAGCTGAAATTAAATAACCAATTCACCGCAGCAATCAAAGAAGTCATTAAACAGACCAGGATTATTGGTCTAAAAATTCTAACGGATACTAGCCAAAGGAGTGTCAGTATAAAGTTGTAATTACCGACACCAGATTGAACTACTGGTTGCTCAGAACCATTATGGGGGCCTAACTTTTGACGCTTCTCTGGTAGATGATCAGATGCATCTGCCACATCAGATTCATCTTCATCCTCATCTGCTCCTAACTTCACAGAGGGTGCCGGAAGCTTTGATTTCTGCTTCAAGCTGAAAGCAAGTTTTCCAGTTGGAGCAGTCTTGCGAACATCACCAACCTTAAACTGCAAATTAGTTTTACTACTGGTATTGTGTGGAACAGAAGTCCCTGTGATAATCTTGATTGGTTTTTGCTCCTCAGATGTAGCGCCTTTATCCTTTTCCTTATCATTCTCACAATTTTTCTGTTGGAGTTGTTTAAACCTTTCCATAAATGAACCATCGTTGACAAAAAGGGTAGGCGGCATTCCCTTGTCCATCAAGAATCACAGAGTACTCAGGCTGCGTAGAATGAATCATCATTAGAAAAACAAGGATCCAAGCATTTTAAACAAGGAGGTAAAAGTAGAAAACTGAATTTAGCAGATAAACCCTGAAAGAAAAAAAATTAACGTTCAAATAATCCAGAAAAAAGTGGGATATCCCAAAGGATAAATGGAAATCTTCTCCATTCAAACACCCACCAACTTTTGCACTAGTTAAACATAACATCGTTAATCCCACATTTATATAGATAAAAAAGAAGATATATATATATATATATATATAAGCACAGTTCAGCAGACCCTAAATTTTTCGGGTACCTTCCATTGATAGACCATGAAGACACAAAAACAGTGCCAACTTGTAGCAAGACAATAACAAAAAGCTCACATGGACGAACTAATTTAACCAATAGTCCACAAAAATCTCTTACACCGAGCTGCTAATGCAAGTGTCTTTGTCACAATCAAATATCGATCAAACCCTCAAAAGAGTTAACCGACCAAATCAAAACGGCCAATATTAAATAAAAATAACAACTACAACGACCAGGCTCCAGACGACGATTAACAAACACCACACTCCAATATTTCCGTAATTTTGATGACGCAGGTAAAAATCACTAGACCGCATATCAAAACGTTGAGCAACAAGGAAAAACGAGCACATAAACATCCGCGTAATAAAAGCGAAACCATATCGAAGGAGAAACAAAACCCTAGCTCCTGATCCTCATAGCCCGCGAAGAACAATCCCAATCAAAAGTGAAAACACAAGCAAATACAGTATCCAAAACGACGAACAGCAAGTAACTAATATTCTTTAACCGATCAAAACAAATCATTAACTTACCCGAACGCTCTTAGAACAACTTTGAATCTCAGAATCGAAACCTTCCGCTTCGACTGCGAAACTCGACGACGATCGGATTCCGCAAGACCAGATTGAAGATCTGTAGATGAATTTGAGGAACGATTGGATTGAAATTGATCATTAACTGACCCGAAGGCTGGGAAATTTGTGTTTAGGCAGAAAAGTGAAGTAGACGAAGAGAGGGCCTCTTCCCTGTTCACGTGAATATAGAAGGAAAATTTTCAGTCCGAAATTCAATTAAATAACAGAAAAAATAAAAACTTAAAAAACGAATCCTAAATTTTAGATTATTTCTACATTTGCCTTTTTAATTAAGGAGAAGGATAACTTTTTTATTTTTTCTTTATTTTTTTATATAATTTTTGAAATTTTAGTAATTAGAAAAATTATATAAACAAAAGGGTGTTTCTTAATTTTTAATTTAAAATATAGAAAATCTAACTCATAAATTTCCCCTTATTAAATTAAAATTTAAAAAATTAAAAAATTTGTGGCTATATTAAATTTATTAAGGTTGATTTTTTGGTTGAATTTTTGAAAAACTTACCCTTCGAATTAGTCAATCCATTTGACATTTTCTTGTCAGGTCAACTGGACCAACTAAAAAATAGTCCTATAAAATCTAGCAGTAATTATTAATGAACATAATTTTTTTTAAATAATTCAATAAATAACTCGAAGGTTAAATTGAATTATAAACCCTAAATATTTTATTTTTAAGTATTATTATTATTATTATTTCCGATGTTTTATTTTTTTTAAATAATTAAATAAATAACTCAAAGGTTAAATGGAATTATAAACCCTAAAATTTTTATTTTTAATTATTATTATTATTATTATTATTATTTCGGATGTTTTAGGCACAAGATAAGTCGAATGGAAGAGCAGCAACCATGACTGAGCTCTGAAACGAGCTCTTAGAAGACCTGAGCAGCTCGACAGAGAGGCGCGCAGTACGGCAGAAGAGCGGCGGCGACAAGAAGAAGATTGCTCTGCTAAGATGCCATTAATGGATACAACAGCGACCACTCTTAGAACATTGCACCCATTTTCGCCCTTTCTACTACGCGCATCGACGTCTCATCGTCTTCTTCGCGCTCGCTGCTTCTCCCATTTCAGCCACAAACACCGCCATCCGTGTTCTTCCTCCTCTCGCCGCCTCCTCCCCTTCTGCTCCTTCTGTAAGTTCATATCTGTTGTAATTGAATTGATTCTTAGTTTCTGCTGTGAATTGGGTTTGATTTGGTAATGGCGCAGCTGAAAAAGGGGAGGGTTCATCCGGTTCTCTGCCGCGCGGTGTTGGTAAGGCCCTAAATGGGGTTTCGCAGCAGAAGGTTCTTCAAGTTGTGTTGGTTTCTCCCCTGGTAATTATGAAGCATATAACGAGTGCCCTTCTTCATAATACTCCTAATTGCTTACCTGATTCTTCAACTCTTCTTGCCCTGTGGGACGAGTGCCTCTGAATTATTAGATATCTCTTCCTAGATTCTTGATGTTCTTTGAATCACTGTTCTTCATTGTTACTTCAAACTTCTCATCAAGTTGAACAAAAGAAATCCAAATGATTCTAGCTTAGGAAATGAGATCGTGGAAACCTCTCCCTAGTAGACGCTTTTTAAAAACCTTGAGGGAAAGCCTGAAAGGAAAAGCTTAAAGAGAACAATATCTGGTAGCGGTAGGTAGGCTTGAACAGTTACATTCGCTGACATTCCCATCCATCCTGGTGTGGGAAATCTTGATGGTAAGCTGGAAATCTTAGGGGGTATTATTGGATGATTGACAAGTTAGAATTAGTCGAGGTGCGATTAATTGGGATTGACAAAGGTTGCTTAGTGTCACGGTTATGCTCATCTAAGGTGTGTTGTTATGGCCGCATGTTGATACCACGCCAAACCCTTTATTTGATTTCATGTTGAATTGCCTTACTATTGTATTTTTTGTTTGTATGACTGCGAAATCATGTCTATGTCTTCTACACTTGAATTGCCTCAAAATGTACTATAAGAGGATGTGACTAGTCGTAGACTCCTCCCACTGAGATGTTGTATGACTATTTGGTGAAATCATGTGTAGGTTTGCCAAACATGAATCGCCTCAAAATGTACTATAGAGGATGTAACTAATCGTCAATTCTTCCTACTCAGAATTATATGTTATCTAAGTCGTTGTGTTATCTTTCTTGCTTATAGCCTTGCTCCCGTTTTCTAAAACCTTCTTCTCAAAATGGGGTCTGAATTGGCTTGACTCATTCGGTGTTGGGAGTGAGTGTCGCACAATCGCAAAGTCCACTGCCAAGAAAAGTGAGATTGTGACAAGTTGAGATGTGAGGGTCGAGGAAACGATGTCTTGTAGAAATAACAATCAGTCATATTTTTGTTGTTGATGTGATATCAGAACTAATTGATCTTGTGATGTTAATCATAAACTTTTGTTTCGAATGTGAACTCTGAGTTATAAATCCTCCATTTTCCTTTCTGGGTTGCAGACAACCTCAATTCTTCAAGGCTGGCTCTTAGATTTCTGTTGTCCTTGACAGATTCCTGGGAACACTGGTAGCATTGCCAGAACATGTGCTGCATCAGCTGTTGGACTACATCTAGTTGGGGTTAGTTTCGAAACATCGCTACTTCGAGTGCAATCGTTCTAATTTTCCCCTCTTAGCTGGAGGTCACCAAAAACTTACCTGCTCGTATCGTTTGTTTCTATGTCTTTCGTTTTCAGCCATTGGGATTCAAGGTGGACGACAAGAAGCTAAAGCGTGCTGGTTTGGATTACTGGCCGTATCCCATAGGAATTCAAGTTCTTTGAATACTAGGAATACTAGATTTATTTTCGATTTTGAACTGAGATTTGTTAAACCGATATCACTGTACATATGGTTCGATGTTTTCAAGTTTTAACATCATGTTTTAGATACGTCGTCGTTAAAATTCATAACACGTGGGCAGAGTTCCGAGACTACTTCAAAAAACAGGTAGATTTTGTTGATGTATCAGAGAAAATGAGCACAAAACACCATGTTCTTGATGATTGTTCCTGTCGATGTACAGGAAGGAGAAAAACGGCTGCTAGCATTTACAAAGAGAGGGACTACACTTCACTCGGCGAGTGCCCATTTTGATCTTTTTCTGTCTATAATCAGGGAAGGAGAGATTTTGAGTAACAAGGAATGTTTTCGTTTCGTTTCTGCAGGATTTTTCGTACAAGCAGGGCGATTACTTGTTGTTCGGGTCGGAAACTAGTGGGTTACCAGCTGAAGCTCTTGAGGATTGCAAGAACCAGGCATTTGGTGGGGGGACCTTAAGAATTCCAATGGTTGAAACTTATGTTAGATGCCTAAATCTTTCTGTAAGTGTTGGCATTGCTATATATGAGGCTTCACGACAACTAAATTACCAGCAACTTCAGCTTGAACCAGAGGGTTGTACCAACAACAATGAACAGTCTATCATTACAGAGGATCTTTTTGCTTGATTCTTTGATATGAACTTTTGCACCATTTTCAATTGATTTGAACTCAGCAAAGAAGCTCATGAAAGAAAGTAGACACATTGCTTACCTTACCTATGGTCTTAAAAGTTCATTTATTAGTCTTACTCTGCAGTGCCATCCCTTCATCTACTGAACAATTGTCCTACAAAATGAGAGATTATTCCAGTTTTTAACACAAACTGGAATAAAATGCTTTTTCTCAAAAGTGCATCACCTATAAGATCCCACGTCGATTGGAAAAGGAAACGAGTGTCAATGAGGATACTGGGCTTCGAAGGAGGGTGGATTATGAGATCCCACGTCGGTTAAAGAGGGATCAGCGAGGACATTGGGCCTCGAAGGAGGGTGGATTATGAGATCCTACATCGGTTAGAGAGGGATCAGCGAGGACACTGGGACTCGAAGGAGAGTGGATTATGAGATCCCCACGTCGGTTAGAGAGGGATCAGCGAGGACACTAGGCTTCGAAGGAGGGTGGATTATGAGATCCCATATCAATTGGAGAGGGATCAGCGTGGACACTGGGCCTCGAAGGAGGGTGGATTATGAGATCCCACATCGATTAGAGAGGGATCAACGAGGACACTGGGCCTCAAAGGAGGGTGGATTATGAGATCCCACATCGGTTAGAGAGGGATCAGCGAGGACACTGGGCCTTGGGCCTCGAAGGAGGGTGGATTGTGAGATCCCACATCGCTTAGAGAGAGATCAACGAGGACACTAGGCCTCGAAGGAGGTGGATTGTGAAATCTCACGTCAGTCAGAGAGAGAACAGAGCATTCTTTATAAGAGTAGAAATTGAAAAGGCATGGAAATTGAAAAGGCGTGGAAATTGGAAAGGTGTGAAAATTGGAAATCTCTCCATAGCAAATGTGTTTTAAAAACCAAAAGAGAAAGACCAAATTGGATAATATTTACTAGAGGTGGTGAGTTTGGCCATTACAAATCTTCTTAATTATTATCAAATAAGTATACTCGACAATTATTAAGTATCAAACAATGAGTATACTGGGCAATTTCAGTATCCTACACTACAATTACATTTCAGATTCAAATCCAATGTTCCAAAATCCTTCAGGAGTCATGGGAGGAGCGTACCTATACCGATGCCTCGAGACCCCATCATGATGTTCACATCGTAAACCCCGCTTATCATCACCATTAGTTTCTTCATTGCCATCATCTGGAAGAACCGCATCATAAAACTTCTTGCATTGCTTGCATTCCATTCCTTTTAAATTTTGCCTGTCAGTTTTCTTTCTTACTGGCTCCACAAACTTAAAGCCGCCTCTATTGCCACTCACTGAAACTGCTGGCATCTGCTGATTTTCTGGTGGATTACCAGCATTCATATCCTGTGTCTCGTCGTCTGACCCATCCATGTTGATGTCTTTGACAGCCACCTCAGGAAGAGGAAGATCATTAACTCTGTCCTTTACAGGCTTGTTTAAGTTCTCTCTGATGTTCTCTAATGGAGTATCAAGAAAATCATCATGTGGGTCAGGTCCTGCCTGTGCTTGATGATGAGTTCTGGTATCTCTCCAATAAGATGCTGGTCTTTTGGAAGCTACTGGTGCAGATTTTACATTGGGGCTACGTTTTGAGCCACTTGGAAAACTGGGAGATTTAGGAGGGCAACGGGGGTTTGAGGCCTGATTTGACTCCACTCCCTTTTTTCCCTCTATATTATTGTGCACGCTTATCGCTTTCTTCAAGTGGCATGTATCAGAGACACCCATAAAAGGTTCTTCAGTTTCCGCATCAGGATCTACTGCTCCAATCAATACACAATTAATAAGACATGGGATATGGATGACAGCGTTTGACAAAACAGAATTGTGTTTATAGTATAAAGAAAGGGCGTGTACCTGGTGAAGAAGCAAGGCCTTGATTATGATCAGCCATTGAATCAGTTTCACTTTCTCTTCTGTTTTTTAGCAGCATATTATCGCTAGTAAGGCCAGATTTTTTGCAAAGGAAGTTATATTGTGATTTCAGCCTTTTGTATGCATCAACAACGCCTTTCTTTGCCTTCTTTTCAGCCAGTAACTCGCAGGATTTTAACTCAATCTGTTGGCGTAAACTTTCATATAATTCATTTCCTTCCATTTCCTCATTCTTTACCCTCGGAATCGACTTAAGGTCATTGATTTTCTCCAGAGAACCATTCAACTTGGTTTGCAGTTTCCTTCCTTCTTCAATTTCTTCAGTTTTCTTCAAAAGTTCCTTCTGTAGGCCATCGACATTCTCCTGCAATTTTTCTAACTTGTTCATAAGTATTTGTTTCTCTTTTTGCTGATCACTATTCATCTGCTCAATATTCATGATTTCTGAAGCTTGTGATTCAATTTTTTTGAACAAGTTCTCTTCCAACTTTTTAACCTTAGATACTTCATCTGTTTTCTCATTAAGCTTCTTTTGGAGCTCATGAAACTTTATCTCTAGGCTAGTCAATTTGGAGCGCAGTGCGTTTGATTCGTCTTCATGCTCTTTCAACTTTTGTTCCTTACTCATTATCAGAGAAGTTTTTGACCGTACCATTTCAAGTAATTTCTGCTGTAATTCAATTGCCTCGTCTATTTCTCTTGATTTCTGTTTCAGTTGCTGTGACAGCTCCTCAACTTTGAGTTGTTCATCCAGTAGTTTGGTTCGCAGTAAATCCATCCTTTCTTCTTGCTCCTTAAATGGCTTGTCTTTCTTAAGTCTCAAAGACTGATTCTCTTCAATGACATGCTGATTTTCCCGTTTAAGTTTTTCTATTTGGAACAGGAGATTGGTTTCTTTCTCTTTCCATGCATCTTCTGCATATTTCCTAGCCTCAGAATATACTTTTTGCAAGCTTTTAGACTTGGTTTGAAAACTGGGAAAGAGCTGGCTGCAGAAGATATATTCTATTTGGGATATCCTGTCTTTTGTTTCCTGGATCGTTGCAACCAGAATAGTGCTAAGCCCAGAGATGTACTTTAGATCATCACCTTCAACAGAGGACCCCCCAAGTTTAAGAGGGTGATCTTGGTCAGCCTCCATATCTGAAACAACATAAAATAAAAAAGGGGGAAAATATTGAAAACCGTCTCAATTATTGAAGAAAACAATAATAAGAACAAAGAAACTTACGCTAAAATCCGCATTGCAAGAGGAAAAACATAACTATATTGACCAAGGTAAAAGTTTCCCATAAAATTGATGAACCCCTAAACACCCCATACATTATGCCACCGAATTTTCGCTTATTTTGATGAAGATTGTCCTAAGTTTCGTCATTATATGTCAAATCCCGCTTCTATTTCGGCAGTAGCGGAAACTCAACTTGGTCTGTTATGCTAAACACGTTTAGGCAGTGGTGTTGGTAACATAGAGATTAGAAATCGTAGCATAAACTACGTGCTTGTAAGCATACAAACCGCAGCAAGCTCAACATTCTGCAAAGTTCGGCTTATTTTATAAATTTCATTTAACTAAAACAGTAATCACTAATGGCGATAATAAAAAATCAGAAAAATTAAAGAAAAATCGCACAATCCAAACGGGAAAGACAAAAGTACAAACGAAGAATTCCTCTGTAGAACAACTCGAAAGAACAATGCGCATGCATATTAGAGTTCAAAATCACAAGAGTGGAAAAACAGGATTTCATATAGAACGGCTGGCAACTAAAATGCAGCAAGATAATTCAAACTTCATGGTGGATTGGTAATACATTGAGTCGATTGAACAGTAATCGGGGAAGATGAGAATGAACGGAGAACATACGAAAATGCAAAAACGTCAAGAAATAAACTGACAGTACTGAAAAGGAACATGGAAGAGATACCTTTTGAGATTTCACTTCGACCTAAGAGGAATGAAGTTTGGAGCAGAGCTTGTACAGCGGCCGATGATAAACCTCGCAGATCAGAAATGGGAGTTTCATGGCGGAAATTGTGAATTTCGTTCAAAAAGCTTGGCGGGGAAGCTGGGGCTTTATCCCATGCGATGATTTATCGTCGTTACGGTAGACCCCTCGGCCCAAAACCTATTTTTTTTCTATTGGGCCCGTCAAGCATTCCATCATACATACATATATATATATATACATCATACATACATATATACATACATACATACATACATACATACATACATACATACACACACATCGGGACTTAAATTTAGGCCTCAGCTTCTTCAAATGTTCGCTCTTCCATTTTCGCCTTCTAGAGAAGCATACGACTAAGAGTGTACATTCAACCCGATAACTCAGACCAACTCAACCTGAACTATAAGAGTTGGGTTGGGTTAGGTTGGATTAGCATTTCGGGTAGGGTTGGGTTCATTTTTATGAACCGGAACTAAATCGATTCAGTTTCGAGTTCGTGGGACGAAACCCTCGAATTGACCCGATACAAATAAAATTATATAAACAATATTAAGAATCCTTTATTATTAATGGGTTTGCCTAATATATTTTTTTTCGCTAACCAATTCTAAAAAAAATAGGTATTTAGTTGTATTGAGTTTTATGACCATATTGAACTAGTTGAATACATTAGAATTTGTCTTTTTTATTTATTATTATTATTTTTTAATAATTATAGATTGATTTGTGTTTGTTTGTGAACTTTTAATATATTTTATCTAAGATTGTAACCTAATAATTATAAAGTGTGGATTATAAAAAAAAAAATTGACAACCCAACCCGACCCCAACCTTAGGGTTGGGTTGAGTTGTGAAAAGTTTTGGGTTGGGTCAAAAAAATCCCTTAACCCAACTCAACCCGGACCATGTACACTCCTACATAAGACTACGAAAGTGTCATTGTGTCTTCATAGTCGCCTTTTGAATACATGAGATTCATTCGGCTTCTTGATCCTTGTCGACCTTCTAAGTTTATACTCTAGACCCGTATGCCCCATTAAAGATAATCAAATAAACAAAGTCACAGGACCAAATAGCATGTCGTTGGACACCCCGGTAATACTTATCGAGAGTTTGACGAAATTTCACACGAGCTTAGAAGGAATATTATCACAATATATTAGAGAACATTTTCATTTGTATGAAAAAACTTTCAAATAGAACCAAGAGTAAAGTGACAATAGCATATACGATACGAAAAAAAAAAAAACCATACTCATAGCATTGACATAAGATTAAATTTACCATAACCATCGGGTTAATTTTTTGTTTATATTAGAGTAAGATTCAATGTATGAACTACCATAATTTTATATTTTACAGATTTGTTAACGATTCACTTATCCAAACACTTCGAGAGATCTAGGCTCTCTCGGGATGACATAACCTTCTCTAGTTTTTTTTTTCTTTCTATTTTTGTCCGTTGCGGAGGCCAGTGGAAAAGCAAAATAAAGAAGAAGCCAAAATACCTATCAACTTCAATCTCAATCAACATACTATCAAAACGAAAGCGATTTCGAATTAAAATATAATTAAAAAAAAAACATGAAACGTATCATCTTTCCAACCAACCTATCCATGGTCCTTTCACCGAAACCCTTTTAGAGCTTATTTGAAAAGACAGAAATGCAATTACCTCAAGTCGTTTTCGTACCTTTCTTAGATATATATATTATCTTAAGTTCGAAAACTAGAACCCCAAAACAAATTTATAAAGTTTTGGGGGTCAAAATCTTTTTTTTTTTAATCATATCGAGACAAAAAAAAAAATTACTCTGAAAAGTCAAAAAGGTCCTTTAACATATTTCAATTACACATAATGATAAAGGGTAAAAAGGGAAAAACAAATAAATGTCTGAAATTCTTATTAATTTCAGACATATTTTCGAAATTAACCCCAAATAAAGGGTTAAATTAGATTTTTCCAGAAAAAAAAATAATAATTAATTTAGTGGAAAGAAAAAGTACAAAATATGACAATGATTGGTAACCAACAGAAAACATAAATAATATCGAACCTAGAAATAATGAAAATTATTGAACTGCCTGCCCAGCTTTAATTAATTTAATTATATTAATTTTGTGGAATAATTAAATAACTGGAATCCATTATTATTTCGGTCCCGGTGCAATAATTCATTGAATTGTCTATTTTTTTAATTTTTCTAAAATAATTATTTTGCTGATAATATCAACTAAAATATTATTTTAAATTATTATCTGTCCATATGTTAATTGAATTTGATACCAAAATGATAGAAAATAAAATTAAATAGAGATTTAAAATAACAAAATGATGTGGCAGCTTGTGATTGGTTATTTACAAGTGGGGTCCATCTAACTTGCCTAGGACTGACATGTGGGGCCCATCCTAAATTATAGATTAGGTTGTCATTTTCATTTTTTGTAATTTTTTTAAAAATATTTCGTTCTTTATCAGACATAATAAAATGGCATAATTGAAAATTACCGAATTTATTTTAGTAGCGGAAAATTGTTTTGTTAATTTAATAATTATTTTAAAGATTCTCGTATAAATCAAAAGGAAAGTGGGTTACGCAAATGTCCCCATCCCGATTTAATCGCCGATCTGATATATTTTTTAAATAATATTATTAAAAAATTTAAATGGAAATGGAATAATAAATAAATACATAGCGACATTTTTTTTTGCCGGTGCTAGAAACTTTGAATTTTTTGAAATGCCAATTAAACCCCGAGAATTTGTCGAATTTACATCACATGCCATTGGAATTATCAAGCCCAAAAAAATATTATAATAATGATAATAACGAAGAACATGAACACCACCATCATCATCTTCACAGGCCACGATAATCTTCTCTTTTTTTTTTCTTCGAACAAACCAAAAAAAAAAAAAGAAAAAATGAAATAGGAACATAATTATCTGAGAAAACACAACGATCATCATCTTCTTCATCAAGGATTTTTCTCGATCTCTCATGCTTCTCTCTCGTAAAGATCGAGAGGATATTCTGAGGATTTGATCCTCGATAAACTCCAAAGGGAAATTTAAACAAAGAGCCCAGAGATTTCACAAATTTCATTATCTTTCGATTCTTCTTTCGTTTTTTTTTTTTAAACAAATCAATCTACGGATTAAACTCTCACGATCTTCGCCGCTTTCACCACTGGATTCTCCCTCGCGATCGCCTCACGACCAGCGGACTTGTAATCGAAGCTACAATCGTGGCGATCTGAATAACGGTGCTCCGCACAGAACAAATCTCCGCATCGGCACCTAAATCCGGTTAATCCGACGCGTTTTCTACATCCGGAGCACCGATTCACCACTCGCTTGGCCGATTCGTCAGGCTTCGGACGATCAGCCGCCGTCGTAATCCTCTTCGACTCAGCAATGAACCGAAATTTCTCCGGCGAGCGAGACGTCGTAGATCTCGGACTTTTCTCACCGGAAAACTTCATAGCCATGGACGCCGTCGCCGACGCCGCCGTAGCAGCATTAAAGCACTTCTGACACATATTATTCGTCGCCGGATTCCCAGTCAGACCGCAGTTGTTGACGCAGAGCGTGATCGTCTCCGGTACTTTGAACTCCGTCTCCTCCTTCTCAGTCCTCTGCGCCATATCTCCCGATCGGATCCTCAACAACAACAAAAAAAATCCTCAGAGATTCAGAGAGCGTAATGATAAGAACGATAAGATTTGATTGAAGAGGTTGGGTTTATTAGAGGGGATGAGAGAGAAACGGGGAAATAAGGAATATGAAGGGATTGAAAGGTCGGTGAGGACGATGTCCTACGGGCCTCATAGAGACGCGTATTGAACATTTTTCACCTACTTTACCAAAATAGCCCTCTTCTTTTCCTTATTTACCTTTATACCCTCCCTCGTTTTGCTCTGTTCTTAATCGGCTGGTGACGTGTCTTCTTCGTCATTATGGTAACCGGAAAATTTACAATTGCCAATTATTTTTTATTTTTTAAAATATTTCCTTATTTAATTATTTTCTGAAATTTATTGAATAAAATTCCTTTTTCTTACCCATTCAGGCTAATGAGTTAATTAGCTTAATTAAATGATTTAACTGTAGAAATTAATTATCTCATTTAAATAAGTTTAATTTAAAGATAATTAATCACCTTATTTGGTAACTAATTAATCTTTTTTCAATTAAAAAAAAAACATAAAATTAAGGATTTTGATCATTTTTCAGTCCATTTAACAACAATTTGGCTCAACCCCATAAACAGCCAAACAAAACCTACAATCACAGCCCCCTATCGGATCATATCACCCCACAGATTATGCTCTTCCAAGTAGCAAACATGTTGTTGTCTCTCACAAGCCCTTCGCCCACAACCCCTTTTCACAAAAAAACATCAACTCGGCCACGGTTGGATCCATGGTGTTTTTCCCTCTTTAGATCTTGTCGAGCTTTTCAGCCTTCACCACGGGGTTGGCTTTAGCGATTGCCTCCCGACCGACAGCTTGATAATCAAACCTGCAGTCGTGTTTGTCGGAGTAGCGATGAACTGCACAGAAGAGGCTTCCACATCGACAGTTGAACCCGGTTAGTCCAACGCGTTTCCTGCAGCTGCTGCACCTGTTTGGGCTCGCTTTTACCTTCTCTATGTTGGTGCTGCTGCTTGCATTTGCAGAAGTCCAAGATGGTTGTGTTGGAATGATGGATGATATAGCTGGTTCGATTTCTAGCTTGGTTGGAGAAGTGACAACAGCAGCCTTCTTCCCATGGTCATTTGGTCCACCATTCACAATGCTTCCGATAGAGGATGCTGCAAGCTTGACCTGTTCTTGCTTCATGATGAAGTCTTTGTGGCATTTTGAACATAGGTTCATAGTTGCAGCACTTCCAAAAAACCCACAGTTGTTTGCACAGAGTTTGGGAGCTTCTGGAGGAGCTTGGCATCCTGTCTCTTTATGATGCTCCATTCTTCACCTTTCCTGTAAATAATATGATCTATCAGCTTATGAACATGAATACACACACCAAGTTCAGATTTCCAAGCAAGCCATGGCTATTGATTTGATTATAGACACTAAAGACTGGATGAAATATTCAAGCAAATCAGGATTATTGATGGGTCCATCTGTAATGAAACTATCCCACGTCCAGAAAAAGGGGAACACAACCAACAGTAAAACTTTTGAGAAACAAGAACATGATAAGCCTGGACCTCAAAATAGTCTTCTATGGTTTACATCTCTAATTCCCTCCCTCCACTCACCCAAATTGTGAGATCCCATCGAATAAAAAAGAAAACGAAGCATTCCTTATAAGGCACGTCGATTAAGAAGGGGAACGAAGCCTTCCTTCTAAGAGTGTAGAAACCTCTTCTTAACATAAAATCGTGAGACTAACAACGATACATAACCGGCGGGTTATAGCGGACAATAGCAGTGGACTTTTACACAAATGTTCTGTAGTCAATGAACTAACCAAGCATAATCATTGCAATTTATCTCTGGCCCTAATGAAATATCGATTGCCCTTCCACTTTGAAGTTCCACTAAGCTCTCATGAGATGAGAAAATCCATAACAAGAAGTCCTGAACCATTCCACGAAGTTTTGACCCTAAGGTAAACTAAGAGAAACAAACTAGCTCGAAATTCTTTTTCAAAGTATACTTGCCAGTGCCAGGTCCAACTCATACACCTTAATTATGTTCTGAAACAAAACTCCAATCTAATGGGGTTAAAACCAAAATTCCAGGCTAAGCAAACCTTGTTCAAGCAAGAGGGATTAATTTGCAAAAGAACATGATAACGAATTAGAGGCAAAAAAAAAGTACAGTTCCTCAACAAGACAAAATCATACATGAAAAAACCTAGTCTACAAACTTCAGAAAAGCAATCGTGATTACTTTCATCCACAAGTTTGATGAACAATCCCCCTCACGTAGCAGGGTGATTAACCTAACCACAAGAAAACGTCATCTACGATTTCAAAAACACAATCGTTTTCTCCAGAAACAATCAATCAATTCCTAGAAACGAAACGAAGCCTTAAATTCTAAGCTCTAACCTGTTCGTTGTTGAGTGTAGGAGGGAAAGCTCTCTACGACCGCTGTGTATCGATGATTATAGAAAAAAGGCCATAAAATTTTCAAGCGAACTTACGATTCTTCGCTCCCCCTCTCCCCACTGAAAATCAACAAGAACAAAAGGGGAAAACAGAAGAACAACAGTAAATCAGAGAACAAAAACTCGCAATCGAGAAACAAAGTAAGCAAAAAATAAATTAGTGAAGAAGAAATTGAAGAAACTAACCCTACGACGATCAGAAAGGAAGCGGGGTTTCGAAGGTGAATCCCTTAAAATGGAATTTCCGATTTATAGAGAAATTCAGGGTCCGGTGTGGGCCAACAAAATAAATAATAAATTAATTTAAAAAAAAACAGTACGAATTATTAAGGGCTCGTTGTGGGCTACACGTGGAGTGTTGAGTGGAGCAAAGAGGAAAAGTCAGAAAAGGAGCGTGGAATTGACCAATGAGAATGAAGGAAGTGGCGAGTTCTCGTGGTTCTGGTTGTAGAGGATCTCAACAGAAAGTTTGGAGACTGGGGCTTACGTGTTACGAGTCTACTCTTTGTTACGTGTAATACTTCTTCTTTGGTCGACACGTGGAAAGTGATGTTTTTGTTTTTTAAAATTTAAATAGTGAAATTTGAATTTAAACCACTTTCCTTTTATAAATTTATTTTTCCGCTTTTTTAATCCAATTTTCGGTTCATTTAATTTTTATTTTTTTATTTGGAAAAAAAATATTTATTTTCTATTTAATTTCTTAAAAAAGTCCAAAACTTTTAAATTTTATTAAATTTCACCCATATTTAAATAAGCATTTGAAATGGCAACAAATAAAAAATATATATTATCATATTTGTTAAAATGAATAATAAAGTTTATTTATTTATTTAATAATTAATTATTGCAATAATTAAATTTAAATTGTTTTGAAATTAGTGATATTATCACCTGTATCTTATTTTTAATTTGTTTTTTTCCTAATAAATATAATAAAAATCCTTGAGAATTATAATTATTTATTTTTCATATTATTAATATATTCATAAATTAATTAATTTTAATAAAAAAAATAAACAAAAATAATTCTAACCAATATACAAAATAATAATTAAATAACATTTTTTCATTAATTATATTTATTAAACAAATACCAATCTAAAGATATTTAATGAATTTAATATTTTAATCGTATTTTATTTAATCAAGCAATTAAAATATAAGGGCAAAATTGTAAGATAACAATGAATCAAAATTCTTTTTTATTTTTCAACTTTGCCTCACATCACACGTCCATGGAAATCGATAAAATAAATTTAAAAAAAAATAAAAGAAATTCAGTTGAAGTAGAAGGCGACGAAGGAAACAAGCGAGGCGCCGACGAGCGATCCAAGGGCTGGAAGAGCGGCGGAGGCGGCGCTACTCGGTCCTGGAGCGGCGGCGGGAGAGAGAGACTCATCGGAGGCCACGACTGCAGTGAGAGTAGCGGCGGCGAAGAGGGCGGCGCAGGCGATCTTCTTCATTTCCATGGCGGATTAGGATGAACCGGTTGTGCTTTCTTCGGCAGGAAAACTCACTTCAAATTGAGATGAGAGAGAGATCGAACCGAAGAAGCCTTAGATAGTTCGATTATTGCCCGATCGGGGGAATTTATAGGTTCATCAGGATGCTAATTTGGGGCTTTTTATATATATATATATATATATATATATTATTATATTATTATTATTATTGGTTAAAAATGATTTTAACTGTTTTCAGCGAGTTTTACTCTCGTCCTACGTTTTATTTACTTTTTCAAATATTCAATTTAAATTTTTTATTTTAATATTGCTTAATATTGGTTAGTTTGTTATTAATTATTGTTATTATTATTATTTAACTAATTTTAATATAAAAAAATTAATATTGGTTAATATTTTGGAATTATAAACTCATTAACTTATGAATGGTTGATTGGTGAATAATGATACAATATTTGATATTATTTGAAGTTTTTATATTCCCCCAATTTTGCTATGCTTTTTGAATCATAATATTTAAAATCTGTTATAAAAAGTTGTACCAATTCAATATATAATATTAAATAAATAAAGAAAATGCAACTTTGTTCATGAGAATTTTTAGTCAAAAGCATCCGGTCGTTATTTTAAATTAAAATTGAGTATAGTTTATTTTATTTTCCTTCCGAGTGTATAATTTATGGTGAACAATATAAATGTAACCGCTCAAGCCTACCGCATAGATATTGTCTACTTTTACTCGTTAGGTTTTCACACACTTATAAGGAATATTGAAGATTTAAAAATATTGTCACAATCTCACAATCCTCACAAGTTTACCGCAAGTAGATATTGTTATCTTTAAACTTTATTATTTAACTTCCACTCAAGATTATAAAAACTATAACTAATGCCACTTTGAGAATATAAAAATATTAATAATCAGTGCAATAACACGACTTCGAATATTCTAAACGAGAAAAGAATTAAAATGATGATTTATTCATTTAAAAAAATTATTGATATAGCAACTTGTGATGTCCCACATTGATTGGGGATGAGAACAAAACACCATTAAAAGGGTGTGGAAACCTTACTCTAGCAAGTGAGTTTTAGATGCGTGGGGAGGAAAACAAAACACTATTTATAAGGGTGTGGAAACCTTCGCCTAGCAGGTGTGCTTTAGATGCGTTCGGAAAACAAAACACCATTTATAAGGGTGTGGAAACCTTCTCCTAACAGATCCTTGCAGGTGAGTTTTAGATGCGTTCGAGGAAAACAAAACACTATTTATAAAGGTGTGGAAACCTTCCCCTAGCATATAAAAACTTGAGGGGAAATTTTATTGCGGAGGAGAACAAAACACCGTTTTTAACACCATTTGTACGGGTGTGGAAACCTTCTCCTAGCATATAAAGGCTTGAGGGGAAATTTTATTGTGGAGGAGAACAAAACACCGTTTTATTGGGGAGGAGAACAAAACACTAGGTATGAGTGTGAAAATCGGAAGTCCGAAAGAAAAGGTCTAAAGAGGACAATATTGAGGACAATATCTTCATGACAGCAACTAATCTCTTATTATTAGTTTATAGTTTATTTAAACGACGAAAATTTGAATATCTGATTTATGCCTACAATCGAACATTCCACTGTAATAATAACAATAACAACAATAATAATGTTTTTAAAAAAGGGACCGTCTTTGATTGTAAAAATTGAGTACATCCAAACCCTGATGTAAATTTTGTATTGTTTCTCTACCAAACACGACATTGGACATTCCCTTTAATCTTCCTTTGAAACACTACAAACCAATACATTCCTAATTTTTTTTTTTTTTCTTTTCAATGTTTAGTACAGCACGTACAACCAACGACGCAATTTATTGAGCTATTCAGCTGTGCTACATCTGATGTGAAAACCCTTTATTTTGCCATCCCAAGAATAAGGCTTCAACTTACTACATTCATTTCTCAGTATGACAATGTCTTTAGCTTTATTTCCATTCATAGAAGATGATGAAGTTCGAATCACCGTGTTCGATAACCCACCTTCCATTTCTCATTATCGGACTCCAGCAAGCAATTCGACACCTGAAACGCGTTTTCAAACTACTCTTAGATTTCTGTAATGGAAGACCACTTAACAACCATAAACAAATGTTTGCCATTTCATGGACTAAATTGTTAACAACCAGACTTTCTAACTCTTACATTGACATTGCACAAGCCTAACTCAAGACTAATGCAAGGCATAAAGTTCGGCATTTCATGGACTAAATTGTTAATAACTGATTTCCTAACGCCTAGATGACGTTGCAAGCCTAACTGAGGACTAATGCAATCCACAAAGTTTGGCATTTCATTGACCAGATTGTTGCATATGGAACAAGAATCGAGTGTGAAACAGAGTGTGAAACAGGTTGTGTACCAAGATTAATCAACTCCATTTCTGATAAATATATTAGGTGTCAATTGATAAAGATGCTGAATTTCAAAGTCCAAACAAGACTTTATGACTAGCAATATAAGTTTTCAAGATTGAATGATGATCATATTAAAATGTGAAATATCATGTAGTAGACAGCAAATGGAATGAAGCTGCGCTTAGGGGTGAGGGCTGCTTCGTGAGTTTTCATACCTGATAATATGGTTCTTTCACCTGATATGCAAGTCACTAAGGAAGTCCGACAACCTGGAAATAGCATCAAATTAATAAAAGGCGAAATTGCACAAGAAATGGACAATATCAAGCAAATGCACAAAACAAAACCTAATGTTTTTAGCTATAATAGTGAGGCCGTCTTGATTCCCAATGTGACGCAGTGCTACCTCTTCCAACCGGCCATCCCGATGTGCGTGCTGCAATGAGAAAATCAGATCAAAATTTGTATCTCATTTTGAAGTTAATACAGCAGACTAAAAGGCAGAATTGCAAACACATCAAAGGCAGAAAATGACATATAAGATTTGGGAAGTAAAGAAGCCAAATATTCGAAGGAAAAAAAAAACACTTCACAACTGCAAACAAAGAAATCACCAAATCAAACATGAGGAGAGCACAATTGGCTTGGAAAGCAAGAGCGTGAAACAAAACTCCGCATAAAATCTATGAATGATGAAAGATAGCAAGTAACAGATATTCCTAATTCCCAGCAGTAACATACAACACTTCCGAAGTCATAGTATAATCTACACATAACGAAAAGGGGTCTCCCATATGTAGATCATCGTCATCTTGGTAACTCAGCAACTAATTTGCGCTAGGACAAATGACTAAAGCTTATTGTGAAGTATCATTCCCCAATAATGGCGTTTGTGACAATTAACAAAGTCTACGAGCCTGTATTTTTGCACGTAGGGCACTGCTATGTGGCCAAAAATGCTAGAATAGCAAATATCTGGCAAAGACAAGAAAGGAACTCGTGAAAGACCCAATTTACATCAGGCACAACTACCTATAAAAAATGTAGTTCAAAAACTATAATTCTCCTCATCACTTGACAAGTTGGCTTCACAACCCAACTGCATTAGAACAAATGCCATCTCCAAAGGTGTTAAATCTTCAAAATCTAAATCTTCAGCACTAAAATCCAAATCCTCTAAGTCTTCAAACATATCAAAAAAGGCATCCATATCCACAATATTAGATCTGCTAGGAGGAGTTCTCTGTGATCGTGGTCGGGGCGGAGGTGGCCTGTGATATTTCCATGTGTATGAACCAGGCTTGACCAAGTGCTGGAACACAACAAACATTGTATCAATCAAAAGATTGGAAAGCCAATCTGCTCTAATGAAATTAAATGACAACAGAATGCGCAATGAACAGAACTGCTTATGTCTACCACATCTTTCAATATTTACCACAAAAGCTGACTGAAGGTTTTTGGGAGACAGAAGAATGTGACAGAGCAGTTGCATATTTATTCTCCAAAATAGACACGCGCCAATGATTTGCAAGCATATGGATTGGCTTTAGAACTGATGAATGATTCCAATAACAGTTTTCCTAATTAAAAGAACGCAATTTAGAAGAGGTCCCTCCAGTCATTCTATGGTGCTAACCTACAATATCCTCATGATAACACTTTTAAATCCAATAGCTATAAGTATATTAATTTTATTAATTTGAAACAGAGAGGTCTATTATCTTCACCTTAAAACAGACCAATCAATTATAACAGGTCTAGCAATACATTCTTTTTCTTTTTTTTATAGGAGGTCTAGCAATAAAATATTGGTTTGCAAAATTAAATAATTTCATCATATTGGTAATTTAACTAAAAGACCGATAAGACATTACTAAACAGAGGTTGCAGAGCCAATCAGCCAAAGTAGTAAGCACATCACTTTCAGCCAGATTGAGACCAGAAAATTTTCTAAGACGGCAACAAAAGTAATTGCAAAGATTTTGTTTGAGAAATTGTGAAATCATCCCCACAAATTACATGGACATTTGTAGATAAAACTTAGGCCTTGCTTAATAAACATAGAATTTTAATTTTTCGAAAATTAACCAACCGTTTCTTAGTTTAGATTTTTTGTTTTCTGCTTTTCAAAAGCCAGTTTAAAATTCTCAGCCAAATTTTAAAAACATAAAACCAAAAATTTGGAGGGTTTTCTTTTAACTATTAAAAATTTTCTTTACATTTTGTTTTTAATAAAAAAAATAAAGTAGGCTTTTAAAATATCCTCAAAACTAAATTGAAGACTAAAGAAAATTGTTATTCAAAGACTCAAGTAAATTTTAAGATCATACATTTTTTTGTTTATCACATTTTAAAAGCACTTTTAAATTCTTAGTTCCCATCAAGCACAATTAACATAGTTTTAAAATCTACTTTCTAAAAATAATTTGTTTAGGATTTTTAAAAATAGATTACAGAACAGTGAAATTGGTTATAAAGCATGAATTTTAGAAACAGAAAACGAAAAGATAATGGATATAGATTATCTATAGTATACACCAAAGCAAGTTATTATTTATGAGATTTGGTTATAGTAGGAACACTGGTGGGAGCAAAGAAAGGGATTTCACCCCTCGTCCTCACCCTCGAACTATTCTAACTGAAACAGGGCTTCCCAAGAGAGGATACCTATGAGAAATGGAGGCATCCTTTGGTTTTTTTGTTAAAAAAAAATGGACAAGAAAGAGGCACCCTTACCATTATGTGTCAAAAGAACAAAATGAAACACACTAAGAGGCACTGAACCAGAAATTTATATATTTTTCATCATATTGGTAGTCTATTATTATGAGCACCCCTAATAGCAAGAAAATTGCACAAAAACATAGTGAAAAAGCTGGCCAAATGATTAGCAAATTTACTTTGTCAACATGCAAGTTCAAATTGTACGATTCCACATATCTAACCCACCATGATTTGATGGCCATGGTAAATGGAGACGCTTATAAAACCATTGGAGGATCATAAGAACAAAAAGAATCTTCTGTTGCACTATATTTCCGTCTCCAGATCACAAAAAGAATTCCTTCCATAAACTCATGTCCATGAAATCAAAGATGTAACCAATCAAACATACTTCATAGGCATTTAAATATTAGAACAACCAAACAGGTTGAGATTTCCATTCAGCATATCAATGATCGGTTAAAAAGCAATATGGATAAAGGAATAAAGAAAAAAAAAAAGGAAGAAGAAAAAATTTCAGGAAAATTGCAATTCCAAAGGCTACAGCAACATCCAGCTTGCTTAGAAGAGCACAATCAGGATAAGAACACTGAAGTAGATGATTTCAGAGAAAAATTTACCTTGTAAAAACAGCTAGATCCAAATGGGCAGTTTCCATTTCCAAAGTTAAAGTGCTTGCAATCGATTGATCTGTGCATGAAAATAATATAAAGTTGCACGATCAGAGTACAGAAATTATTTCAACAGCTCACACAATTACTTTAGAACAGTTATGCAGTTTCCACTCTTCTAGAAAGCATATTGATCATTCCTGTGGACTATGGAGCTTTCCAGGTTACATTTGATATGGCATAGACAAAAATGAGTTTGGTTATAAAACATAAAAAACGGGAACAGAATGGACAAAATTTAATAGTATCCAGAATGCAATCAAATATTAGGAATTAAGCACATAAATTTACCGCAGCTTTGACTTGTAGCTATCAACGATCTCTTGTTTTTCTTCCTTGGAAGAATACCAAATGACGCTTGGAATAACAAAGTATGATAGCTTCCTACAAATTGGGCAGGCTCTTAAAGCACTGTTAACATCCATTCCGGAGGTAGATGAACTATTACGCCAGTTTCTAATACAAGAAATGCAGAACGGATGATCACATTCTGATAGAAGCCCAAACTTCCTCTCGGCTATTTCGGTTTTAGAAAGGACACGCTCGAGGCAGACACTACACTCTATTTCTTGGCTATGTTTCAAAGACTCGAGATGTTTTTGCTTTTTCTCACATGCCTTCATATGCTCCTCCCTTTCATCCGTCCTAAAAGGATGTAAACATTGTTTTCCACACGTGGGACATAAGTCCCCATGAATGTGAGGGCAATTATCACCACGCGGACAATTAGTACCAGCAGCAGAAAAAGAGCAAATAGGTAAATCGGCTGGACTAATAATCCTTGTCTCCCTACTCCCCCAATCATCAAGACCAGATGGAAGCTCACACTCTACACTCCAAGCAGATTCAACGTGTGAGGGAAGACAGGATATCCTTGAACCAGCAAGCTCAATTGTCGACCCAGGTGAAGGAGAAAGTGGACTTGATAATAGAGTATGAGCTATTGAAACAGATTCAGACACGTGAGGTTGCTGAGAATTAGAAGAAGCTGATGACTCTGCATGAGAAACTTTAACATGGTCATATCTGCATCGACTGCCAAAAGCACACCTTCCCTTTTGATAGTAAGTGCAAACCTGTTTCACGAATGATACATCAGAAAGAAAGAATGATCGGAGTGCCAAACTGACAGTTGGTTTACATTAAAATGCATAGCGATGCAGAGGAGTGGAAGTAATATTTACATTGCTAGGTGGAGCCGTCCAGTCATGCGAAAACTCACAATACTCCCCTTTCAAGCATGCTCCATGCGCAAAATACTTGCATAGAACCCTAAACAATCCACCAAAGTAAATTAAGACGCTAAGAACGTGTTAATTCCAAGATATACAATAACAAAACTTCAAAAACATAAAGTCCAGCCTCAACAACAACCACCCAACAAAACAGCTTTCGTGAAACTCAAATTCCAAACATTTCCAACCACATATTTGATCACCCAGCCCCTCAAAATAGCATACACCTAATAATCAAACCACATACCAAAGAACCATGATCAAGATTACTCGAGAAGGTACATCCAAACAAAGAAAACCACGAACCGGAAGATACTATTCAAGAAAAAGAAAAAGAAAATCAAAGCGCGTAATCTGCCATCCAATCATCAAAACTTTTAAAAATACACGAGAAAACGAACAAACAAGCATCTGCCAGACAAAATCAACAAGAACATAGAAAGAAGCAGAATCGAAACAAAAGAACAGAACCTCACCTTTTAGACATGGCGATCGAAGTTAGAAGCGGAAAATGGAAGAAAAGACGATTGAAAAGGTTGATTAAACAAGTAAGAGAAGATTTGAATAAGATATAAGCAGTGGAGGGAAATGGAAAGTGGAAAAAAGAACGAATTCCACGCACTTCATTGTTCGTTCGGAGAAGGAAAGAAGCTCTCGCTCGCGCCTGAACCTAGGGCTTTCTGGCGGTCAGTATCCAATTTAATCATCGGCCATTCATTTTACGAATAATTCCAAAAATACCCCTCTGCCCAATGGATGACTCTGCACCAAACTGGGGGCATTTCCGTAATAAAAAAACTCAAATTTGGGGCTAAGGGTAATAAAAATTCATTCACGTTTTAGTGTTGTGGTTCTCTCTTCATGTGAGAATCGTGACGATTACATTTTTTTTAGAACATAATATATTAATTATTTATTTATTTATTCAAATAATTCGATTTTAAATTATATCACATTACAATTTCGAGTGTTCGAGTAAAATTATTAATCTAGACAACCTGGTATCAGAACAGTTTGTTAGACGAACACGACTCTCCACAATGGCATGATATTGTCCACTTTGAGCCTAAATTCTCATGGCTTTGCTTTGGGCTTTCTCAAAAGGCCTTATACAATAGGGAGAGTATTCTTTGCTTCTAAACCCATAATGATTCCCTAAGTTAGCCGGGACTTTCATCGTCCAACACAGTTAACAACAACAATAACTCGGGTTTATGTAAAATATTAACCAGCACAATAATATTTTGAGTTCGATAATATTTAATGTTAATTATTATTGAATTATGTGCTTAAAAAAATTAAATATTTAAGTATTTAACAAAAATATCTAAAATCTACCAATTAAAAAAATATAAAAATATAAAAATAATGGATAAGGAGAAAATCTTAGTGAGGCAAGATAAACCAGAAACCCAATTCCACGAAAATCAATCGCTATGGCCACAGCAATCTCACCACTGGCGTTCTTCTCTGCCGGCGCCGCGGCAACGACCGGCGCGATCGTCCCAAAGCCGTCGCAAACTCCGCCGCTACCAAAGCCCCTGATCCCCGTTCTTCAATCTAATCCCTCTGGCCCACTTTCCTCGTTATCTGCCCCCATCTCCGCCATCGCCGTAGCCGCGATCTTGAGCACCACTCCACCGTCACTGGCTGACGCCGGCGGCGCTTTCAATGTCTATTATGGAACCGCCGCCAGTGCCGCCAATTACGGCGGCTTCGGCGGCAACGCAAGCAAGAAAGACTCAGCAGAATACATCTACGACGTGCCGGAAGGCTGGAAGGAGCGATTAGTGTCCAAGGTCGAAAAAGGTATATCAATTTCGCTATTGAAATTCCTAAATTAAAGAGGTCTAACGGCAAATTTCGTTTCGAAAATCGATTTTACGATCTTAATTTTGCAGGTACGAATGGAACCGACAGCGAATTTTACAATCCGAAGAAACGGAAGGAGAAAGAATACCTAACTTTCCTGGCTGGAATCCGGCAATTAGCGCCGAAGGATGTGATTCTGAATAACCTAGCGCTATCGGACGTGAATTTGCAGGATCAGATCGCGAGCGCCGAGGGCATCTCGGCGGAGGAAAAGAAGGATGAGAATGGACAGATTTATTACGTGTATGAGATCGACGGCGCTGGAACTCACAGTTTGATATCGGTAACTTGTGCGAAGAACAAGCTGTATGCGCATTTTGTTAATGCGCCGACGCCGGAGTGGGATCGGGACCAGGATATGCTCCGGCATGTTCATGAGTCGTTCAAGACGGTCGGATCGTATTAGCTTTTGTGGTGTGGTTGGAGATTTGATCGGAGAGAGGTCTGTTGCTGTGTATGAATTGGTTGTTACATTCTTATTCTTGAATGCAGGAAATCTACTGGTTTTTCACCATAATTTCATCACCAATTTTGATCTTAGAAACCGAAAGTTTTCAGAGGATGATTAAATGGTTGGAATTGGTGAACATTTCTAAGCTGATCAGGAGGATTGTTATGTTGGATGAAATTAGGTGATCACTAGTTTATAATCAGAAATATATTATTTAGTGGGACGAGGTCTTTTGGGAAGCCCAAAACAAAGGCACGATAGCTTATACTCAAGTAGACAATATCATATCATTGTGGAGAGTCGTGTTCAACTAACACGTTACTCGTCGAGTCTATTTTATTTACAATCAAATAATGCAATTCAAAGGCGTTTTGATTGCCATCTTAGCTCTATACAGTCGCTTGGATGGATTTTTTTTTCTTCTTCCAATTGAAATTTGGTTCAATTGGTAGGTTGAACAATTCCTACACTATGTCGTTGAAAGTCTTCATCTTCTGCTTCTTCTGCTTTATGTCACCTCTCGTTCTCTTCTCGTCTTCACCTACGACGAACATTCACATGACAAAGGCAGGTGATGTAACAACCCAAACCCATAACTAATAGATATTGTCCGCTTTGGTTTGGGCCGTTATGTATTGTCGTTAGCCTTGCGATTTGAAAACGCCTCCAGTAGGAGAGGTATCAATACGCTTATAAGGCATTCCTCTCTTTGGGTACTTCTCCTAATAGACACGCGGGGCTAATGGCAATACGTAACGGGTTAAAGCGGACAATATCTATTAGTTGTGGGAATATCTATTAGTTGTGGGTGTGGTTCCTCTATGCCTAGAACACCAGAATATACGAAGAAAGACATCTTAAGAGAAAAGCATATTGGCTAGTGATTCTCAGGTCCGGTAGAAAGGGTGGGCATAGCTTTCTTTAGCTTTTTCATGTTATCAAAGAGCTGAGGATTGGTCTATTACAAATGGTATCAGAACTAGACACAAGACTATTACAAATGATATAAGAACTAGACACGAGGCTATTACAAATGATATAAGAGCTAGACACCGGGCTAACGGTGAGATCTCACGTTGATTGTCGGTGGGATTCCGTGGTGCCAGAAATTTAATAATTTTATTTCAATATAAAAAAAAGTATTACAATTTACGGACGCCATTGTTGGAAGAGACGAAGCTCAAAGCTAAAACAAAGTGAAACCATCGTCATAAGAAACGTGCCATCCCCGGCGACAAGGAGGGGCATCTTCATCATACTCAGAGCAACAGCTCCACCGTCTCTTCCAGTTGCCGGCGCCGGTGTTCGGACGATTGCCCTTCTCATTCCACTTGTAAACGATCACACCAGAGCCGTCGCTCCACTCGCCGTCAATCCCCTGATGCGGCGGCGACAACGAAAACAACCCACTCTCCCCTGTTAATAAACACCGATTAAAAAGAAGGCAAAATTGGAAGAGAAAGATAACGATAAGATTCGAACCAGTGACGTGGCCATGGAAGGCGCATGCCGAAGGAGAATTATCGAGGTCGGAGTAAACGGTGCGGCATCTTAAGCAGCGTTTCGCGGCGGCGGATCGGAAACTGACGTTACCGATCGGAGGAGTATTCGAACTCGTACATGCCGTGATCTTTGAACCGTTCGATGAGGGAAATCCAAGGCTGTGATTTAAACACGTCGATAACGCCATGGAAGCATTCAATTTTGTTCCACACAAAGAAAAGGAGATTCGGAGGTTAGGGATGAGTTGCAGAGAAATCTGGTGGAGCCGTTACCAAAGGGCTTCAGATAAATAGGGCCCATGAAGTTTCTGGCGGCCCATTATGGACGAGGAAAAAGCACATTTACAATAATGCCCATAAGTTTCAAAAATATTACAATAATGCCACTAGACCTTATATTAAAATACTCTCCCCCATAAATATATTTAATTTTAGATAATTAATTTAGTTTTATTAAATTAATTTCAACCCTTTAAAATTTAATTCATTAATAAGTATAATAGATTTAAATTTTAGTAATATTTATTCAAAATTTTAATAATAATTATAGTAATTAGTAAGAAATCAAAATGAATAATTAATTATAAAATATTTTTATTTCAATTAACCGTCAACTTCTCGTAGCCTCTTTACAAGCTCATCAACTCAATTCACAATATACAAATAACACAATCCAACATAACGTCGAACATCACACCTCTCTTCGGTCGCTCGACGTGTTATTCAACAAACAAACAAGAACAAAGAACGAAACATCTTAGTGAACAACGGTGCCATCTTGTTCAACTTCGGATGCGGGTTCGTTATCGTCGTCAAAGTAATCAAGACCCAACGAGCCATGACCTTGTCCAAAGGCCTTGATATGGTCTTTAAGCGAGCGCTTATGTTTAAAGTCAGACCCACAAAAACAATACCAAATCTTCCCACAATTCTTCTCATGCGTTCGCCAATCACCTTTTACAGCAAACGCTTTGCTACATTTTCTACAACTAAAAGGCTTGATTCCATGCTTACGCTTGTAATGTGTTTGGAGCGTGCGAAAGTCCTTGAGCGGTCGCGACGTCGGGTTGTCGATGTTGTGTTTGCACCCGGGCGCGCAGCAGTAGCACGGCAAGCGTAGCATGGCGGTCGGCTGTGTTCCTTTTAGGGACTCTGGTCCTTTCCTGTATTGAGAACCATGCCCCCACATATGCATCTACATATAAAAATATAAATTATTTTTGAATTAATTAAAATAAACCCATTTGATATTTAATTAAATCCCTAGAAATTAAAAAAAAAATGGAAATTTTTGTTTTAGTAATTAATGGAAACCCTTTTCCCCATAATTAATTCTCAGCTCAAACAGTTCTTTTGCAGAAGATCACTTCAATTTCTCAGACTGAAAAGGTAAACAAAAAAAACAAAAAAAAAAAGGAATGAAGAACATGAAGAACATGAAGAACATTTCTTGATCAGTTAAATCAAAACCCTAACACAAATAATTATTATAAATTCGAATAAAATAGATCAAAAGAAAAAAAAAACATGTTTTTTTTTTAATGAAATAATAAATTACCTGAAGATTATTGTATCGATTGAAGGCTTTAGAGCAAAGATGGCAGGAGAACTGAGAAGGACCGAAGAGGATCTGAGATGGGGTTGGAATCCAGAACTGACCCTTGCCGGAGATCGGGGAAGGGAGGGGGGAGAGGTCGTCGTGGTGGGTTTTTCCGGTGGGGTCCGGCGGGAAGGAGGTGGAGAGGTCGAGATCGGAGGTAGGGCAAGAGAGGCAGAAATCAAGGGTGAGGGCGTTTTCGTGGTTGTTGGTGGTGCTGGAGGAAGGTTGGTCGGTGGTTTCCAGAGAGAGAGTGTTGATGAGAG